CCTAGTCCGCGGACTATACATGTTTAGAAGTTGACAATTCACCAGATGCGGACTATCTACAGGTGCGGACTATACAATGATTAGTTTTTTTCTAGATTGTTAACTGTGACAAGTCGTGAAGAATTTTGTGAGTAGCGGGCTATATTAACGTTGATGTACGTATGATAAAGCTTGTTTGTGAGCTAACACAGTAGATACTTGTCAAGGTGTGCTGTGTATGATACTGTTCACGTTCGGACTAGGCACCACGTGCGGACTATGCACGGTGTGCGGATTTTATACCGGGTGCGGTCTATCTAAGCAAATAGTTTTATTTTTGACTCCGAAATTGCTCCTGCGGACTATTCACCGGGTGCGGACTAAAGTCCCGAGAGTGCGGTAGTCACTTTTTGGGGGCTAACGCGCACATGTCTCCGGATGAACTGCCACCTGGAGGAGTCCGGCTCTACACTTCCTTCGACACGTTCTTGTCATCTGCTTTGAGGTGCATATAGTCACAGTGTCCGCACACTTCGATGGGGTCGTCATGCCGCGACGGTGACCGAGGAACGAAACTCCTCGCTTTCTAGTTTCCGCTGAGCGTCGCAGGATCAAGAATTATCTTACGTTACTGCGAAATTCGGAATGTAATGCACGCGGGGTTTACCGGTGAAAAGAAATCCCCGCGGAAGAACAGCCGCTGCGAGTTTTGCAGCCGCTCACACAGCAAAGCCCCATAACGGCAACGCGCGACGCCACCTACTTCCGATTCGCCGCCCAGCGGTCCTGAATGCTCCGTGCGTCTGCTCGTAAACGAAACTGAACGAAAAAAAATAATAAAAATAAATTAAACGTCTTGCGCGATAGGTTTTTCGGTGTTTACCAAATCTTGTTGATGTTTACATTCTTCTTGTTTACATTTTTTTTATGAATATGCTTCAAAGAAATGACGCCATGCACTCTCTATATCTTCTTACCTCCTTGGGTTCCGCACTCCTAAGATAGCCATCTTAGCCCAGTGTACATATCTTTGCTGGCACTGCTCCTGAACTTCGCTGTTTCTAATGGATTTGCTTGCTCATTTGGCAAAATTAGCATTAAAAACGTCGATGTAAACCAGATGTCCTGCATGTTTCAAAAGGGAGACGCAATTACAGGTGACCTTCGCTGCCTCTGAAGCCCAATCAACTTAGCAACATTTATAAACAACGATCGCGACGTGCTCAAAAAACGAAACTAAAAGATGATGAGGCGGGAGGGCGGAAGCTTCCTCCCGTTTGCCTGGAGAAGGAGAAAAACGTCTCGTTCCTCCATTCTTCTCGTGTCCGCTTGGGGGCGCGTCAGTAGAAGGGAGGAAAACGCGCCGTTAATACCTTTTTCCTCCTTTTTTTTTTTTTAGAGTGCGGTAGCGTTGTCGAAAATGGCAGAAGGTGAGCTCTAAAGCCGCGTACACGGCGCACGGCTCCACAATATCATAAAGTTGAATCTTCGCCTCGATTCCGAAGCGAAAATTTCGGCCTCAAATAACTCCTTCCCAAAGTTGAGAAACGTCGCTTTGTTGTCACCGATAACTTACACAAACGACGAGTCTGGCGACGAGAAAGTACAGAATTAGATTTACCGGCACCTACTGCACCTGTGCAGAAAAGCATAGGGTTATTACAATAAACGCTAGAGGTTCAGCTGGCGCTAGTGTGCTGTTGCATTTTGAAGCAGACAGCAAGCAGTCAGAAATTGACCTCCGGTAATGCATTTCTATGGGAAAAAGCGACTGCATTTTCCCTCTGTGCTCAATTATAAGAGCAAATACCACGAATAATTTGTACGTTCTTGGCACATTGGAACATTTCTCAGTCACGCAGACGAAATAATTGGTTAGTTACAGCATTTTTATTTGAAATTCGCGGCATGAAAAACGGTATTAAAACCGCTTCGTACGTATATCTATGTGCACTGTCGAACACTGTTAGCGCGAACACGGCGTCGGCGCTTTCCAGCATGGGGGCTATACGCGCCAAACGAACGAAGGACACGTTGAAAACCAAGAGAGACGGCAAGAACTACGCAGTGACACTGGATAAGTAACTCCTTGTGCTTGCAGACGTTCAAAATAAATTGAAAGTCACGTAATATAGTCCGATTTGAAATAAATAAGTACTGCTTTATTCTTTCTGCTCATGAATATGGGCGAAGATGCTGGTTCTGCGTTCAAATCATCACCCGCACGCTCCAAATCTTTGCAAATAGGGGGAAGCCAGAGAACAGGTGCGCGATACAAACTGCCCAACATAGGAAACAATAAGAAAACACACCTTTCGTAGCCCACGTATACTTTATTCTTTACGTTTCGAAGGTTTCTGAACCACTCGTAAAGATGCACGACGGGGTCATTTTCATATAATGAGAGGACAGGCATATTAGCAATATATAAGCATCAAGGGAATGCTGGCGAACTTTGAACACACTCTACATTCCTTTCGATCGTTATTTGGCTTAGAATCGTCGCTCGTTTCTACATACCTGGCATGGAACCTAGGTTTGGGCCTGAAATATAGCGAAGTTTAGCATCGTTCAGGGGTAAAGCGAAAATGCTGTAACTAAAGCAATCACACTTTCACAATATTAATAAAGGTACATGCTATCCGGTGCAACCGAAATTACAAATATTATTGATGTCCTTTTCCGGCGACGAGACAAAATTCACGCGCGTTTTCCCATAGGAATAAACAGGCAGACTGGAAAAGTAGACTGCCTGCTGTCTTCTTCAATTTGCAACCGGAAGTACCGTAGACACTAGCGCCAGCTAAGCCTCTAGCGTTTATTGTACTAACTCTATGCAGAAAAGTGTAGGGCAGTGCACTTCCGGTATCTGTATTGAGATAAGAACGAAAGTACACCACCCTACACTTTTCTGCCCCGGTGCAGGAGGTGCAAAAGGTGCTTGTGAATCGAACAAGCCTACTAGGCTCGTTCGATTTACGTTCACATCCTGAAGTATTCACAGCCCACCTAGCGATAATGTAGACAGCATTGATTCTAAAGCGGCGTAGGGATGTAGGAACACGCAAATTCCGAGGTCATCAGCGCAATCGTTCAATCGGCTGGCCCCACTCTGTTGCTCGCCGCGCTCCGATTACGCTCTCAGTGACTCTGTGTTCCACTGTCTCGGTGGCATTTGAGCACCGAGAGGCTTTAAATGAGTGACATCTCGTCCCGCGCGACGCCATCGTCGCGAGAGTCCAATCAGCATGCTTCGCGAACTTCGGTCCAAACTTTGTGTTTGACGAGTTCAGAAACCTTGGACGAGCATCGTACCGGCGTGCGGGCCTGTATCACTTCGGCGTGGTGTTAGAGACCCCAGACTAGCTGTTGTACTGCACTGGCTAAATTTGCGATATACAGCTGAGACACCAGACGCCCGTTGAGGCAGACTATACGTCCGGCTATCTAAACAACAATTCAACACAATGAGTTATCTCGGCCCTCAAGCTTACCGATATCAAATGGCACAATCTGACGTTCTCTATTTACGTATCTGGATGCGGATCATTCGGCGGTTTTCGTTTTTTTCGGTGTGACGGGCTCTTCAAAGCAAAAACATTCTCAGATAAGACTGGTGAGTACAGTTTAGCTTTCTGAAAAATAACGACTGCCACGGCCTTTGTGTCGTCAATATGTCACGCTCTGATTGAAGTCTACGGCTAAGACTAATATATCTAAAAGGTTAATGAATGTTAGTCAGTTAGCTCGGTAATTACCCCTTCACACTTCACGTCCGCCGCTATCGATAGTTTCCTAGCTTTGCATTATTATATGCTGGCGTGTACTTCACCCGTCGTTAAAAATCCCTATAGTTGCGTCATAAGCGAGATTTAGTTGATCGTTCCGATACCTCTGATAACAATACCTAATAACGATACGATGCATGCGCAAATGTGTCGCCGGAGTTACCGGGGTGATCGAATTACTACTTACTATAAATCTCCCTCCAACTGAATACTTGAATACTTTTGACAGGAAGGTTGCCATTCGTCGCGCGCCTTCGCTTAGCTGCGTACTTGTAAGCCGCGCACGTGGTGGCCATGATAAAGTGAAGCTAAACGTGACGGGAAACACGCTCGACATTCCGCCAAGGCTCGCAATCGCGTGCTTACACGGGCCTTGCCGCTCGAACCCACCACTCAGTTTCGCAAATGGTGGCCCCCAAATCGGCTCACTTGAGCGAAATATGTATTCGCTCTCTCCGGTCTCGCCGGACACACGAAAACACGTGCATACTTTGTCTCCTTTAATAATGGACCAAAGCGGGGGCTACGAACCGCATCAGCCAATGCAGCGCTGTGTACGCATCACGTGACTACGCACCTTGCGCGTTCCTGCGGTTCCCCCGAGGGTCACGTGACAGTCGAACGACATGGGATTGGTTTAAGGAGTCGCAGAGTGCCCTGACATCCATCGTAATGTAAAACGGGGTATAGTATACATGCATGGGCACAGGCGTTCAACGCGACTAATTTGTTCTCCGGAAATGGTGAGAGTCGTACCCCTATTTAGATTATTATTTTGTTTCTGAATGGGCCACCCAATTATATTTGTTCTAAAACAACAACAGCAATCCTTTTCCTACGGAAACTTTCGCCGTCCGTGAGTTCTGCGCGCGCGTGCTTTAGCTGGACCCTACACGGGGGGAAGGGGGGGGGGGGGGGGGCGCGAAGTTATGCGAAACCAAGAGCAACCTTCACGCTTTCCTGAACACAATAATCTCGGGAGAAAACTGGAGTGCCATTATGCCCTGCCTCCCGTCCCCCACACCACCTCCTTTCTCGGTCGTGTGGGGCTCTCCCACGCTCCTACGCGAAACGCCCGGAATCGTAACAGGAACGACCTGCTTGTAGGACCAGGTGGATTGCACTCACCTTCTTCGGGCCACGCCTCCAGGTGCTTGATCTGTATAAAAAGCGTCTGCAGGCCACTATGGAGTTACAGTTTAGCTTCCAGAAGTCGTTGAAAGCAGAGCAAGCATGAAGTGCACGGTAAGCTATTGCTCTTCCGTAACGTGATGGATATCGGTTTCGTTTAGATAGTGGGTCATTGGACGCAATTCTTCACGATAAGCCCCTGGATATTGAACGGATATACGCTGGGCGCTTGACGAACGGAAGATAACGAATTGCTTCTTTCATTCATCTCAGTATATGGTCTTGTCAACGGTAAATTACTATGAAGTGTATAACTAGAATAAGTCTGTATTTTTGTAACATTTCTAACGAGCAATTTGAAAACGCCTCTTAGAATTATAAACTTCTAGCGATAGATCGACCAGGAACAAGGTGAGGCGCCGAGAATGGTAGCCCCGTTTAAACTTTATGTATTAAAAATACCCGTAGGAGTGGTCTAATGAAAAGAAAGCACGAAGAGATCCTTCCAGTATTCAGCTCGCTTCTTATATTAACAAGTCTGGGCTCGCAATAGTGAAGTTGGTTGGTACACTTTATTATGACGAGGATGGCTCAACGGCCCAAAGAAGAAAAAAAATAGAAGAATAAATTAACGAAGAAAAAATATATACCTCTGGTCCATACCAGTAGATCGCGGGAAGTCCCAAGTGGATAGAAGTGTTTATTTCGCACGGGCACCAGCACATCGGGTTAATCCAGTCTTCATGATCATTAACGGTTTGTTTATTTATATTTTCGCGTTTTTTTATTATGGAGTTCGCAAGCATGCACACAGGTGTCTAATGTTTTGAAGGATTTACAAGCTCAATATCATTAAAATACAGTTTGCAGTGAAGTTTATCTCCAAAGTCATATAACCCATAAAAGGCGGCATTTAAAAAAATTGTCCGGTAAACTTTTGTCTTTTAGAAAACATTTAAATTATATTGTCCTTAATTTTAGGAATATATATCGGACAATATCACATTTTTAAATCCTCCGCCGCACAAGTAATTAAATTTTAAAAAGAGCCCAACTGCTCAAATTGCACCTACAACACACGCAGCGTTTCTGTTGGCAACTGCGGAAGCTCTGACGAAAGATCGGGCAAAGAGAGCCACGTCAGCTCTTGACTGCTGCCTCAGTAAAACAGCTTTGTTCTAAAAAAGGCAAGATTTACGGTATTGAAGGAAGCTCAATTCTTCGGCGATGATCTTTGTACGCGCCATGCACCACGTTGACCAAAACCGGAAATACGTCAACGCCCGCGACCTTGACGTTACTACGCCTGATATTACGTCACGACACGACCAGCCATGCATACTTGAGAAATTCGGCGTGACATTTTGTAGTGATGTTAATAATTAGTTTAACGAATATCGGGGCGTCTTTTAATGAAATGAATTTCACAAATGACTATAGCTGAAATCTCTCTACGTGACGAGCGCAAACACTTAGTAACTTCCTGATATCACTGGACAATTCCTTTAAGCAATCGTTTAAATTTGATTAAAAGACACGAATCAGTCAATTCGGGCATTGAAGAATCCAAGTGAAGAAGTCAGTTTCCCCGCTAAACTGATAAAAAAAAATATTTTATAAATTTAGTAGGGAAACTGACTTGGTCCATACGTCAGGTGATATCAATTGCTCCGCCATACTAAGCGGGGAAACTACAGTCCGTTTCAACCTAAGAACGAAGGGCGAGGGTAAGACGGGCCGGGGAGGAGGAAGCAGACGGAACGCTGGAGAAGAGAGGGGGAAACCTCCTTCTCACTTTAGCGTTCCGTCTGCTTCCTCCTCCCGGGCCCGTCTAACCCTCGCCCTTCGTTCTTAGGTTGCAACCAACTATAAATAGTGTATAGGTCACATGACGTCATGTCACGTGACATCAATTTCCTCGCCAGATTTAAAGAGGAAACTGAAATGGCGTATGGGTCATGTGATACGAGGTCACGTGACATGAGGCGACGCGACATTAATTTTCTTTCCAAATTTAGTGTGCAAAGTAAATTAGTCTATGGATCTCGTGACGGATAATAAAATTTCTTGCTAAAATTAGCGGGGAAGTTGAATTGGTACTTAGGTCACACGACGTCCATTCGCCCCCCCTCTCCCCCCCCCCCCCCCCCCCCCCCTAAATTTGGAGGGAAGTGCACGGACGGCGGATGGACGAGAATTTATAATTGAAGGCGGGGGGGGGGGGGGGGGGTTCGTTAGAAGATATTTTATGCCTAAAAACGCGCATATATACCTTTTACACATTCACCGTATTGCTGTGAGTCTCAGGACGGAAATGTATTTTTGGTAGCCACAGTTCAATTATATTCACAATTAAGATTTCTTTTATTCACTTCCGCACACTGGTACGATGAAGCAAGCGTGCACGTGTTCCAATGCCACAATTAAAATTTGCCGCCGCCGCGAATTTGGTTTTAGAGCCATGGCCGCGACCACGCTCTAGTAACTTCTTGCAGTCTAAGCGCCTTTCCGCGTTGTATGTTTCACAAGCACGGGTCGCTATAAAGGTGATTACAAGGCAGGAAGTTTAGCCACCGCGAGTGTAAGTCAGAGCTTGCGTTGAAAACGCTTGGAAATTCAGAATGCTCTTGAATAATGGTGTTCACTCTTTCTCGTAAGCCCTCCTCGCGTTAAAGAGTTGCCAGAGACTATCTTTCTTGGTTTACTCCAAGTCTTGTACGTATGTATCTCAATTCGGCTGTCAAGGGATGTAAAAGAGGGAGGGAGGGCAAGTTAAAAAAAAATGGGAAAGTATATGGCCGGCTAGAACTCAAGTCCGTTTGCTATGAAAGAGTTCAAGATATGTCCGCGGCCGTTCGATTTGATTCCAAGTGCTTTAGCAATCATCAACTTAAACAAAACTCTTATTCTAGGGAGAACTCCGCCCCTCGTACGAATTTTCAGTGCTGAGATTGATTCAAAACACTGAGAGGTCACGATGAAACGTCGGTCAACACGCGTCGGTCGCGATGAAACGTCATTGCGACCGACGCGATGACAGCAGGCGGGACGGCGGGAGAGGAAGCAAGGTATAGATGGCGAGGAAGCCGAAGGAAGGAGACTGCATCCTGATCCTGTTGCGTCACGGCTCGTTTATTCAGTTAGTTGCAATACGGGAATACTAAGAGGTGTTTTACATGCTTTACTCTTCAAATCACAAGCTGAAATTTCATAGACATTTTCACGAGGAGTTCCTGGTACGTGCCACAAGGTTTATACATGAAACTAGCGACTCCCCTTTTAGGCTGGAGAGACCCTTTAACATAACGTGACACAGGCAACGTTCCGTTCATTCAACACGATGTTCTGCTGTCGACCGTAACCATCGGGCATATCTCTCTTGCAGATCGCAGTCATCCTGTTCGCTCTGGCAGCCTCTGCCACTGCCGGCTTCCTTGGAGGCTACGGCGGTTATGGCGGAGGCCTCGGCTACGGCGGATTCGGAGGAGGCTACGGAGGATACGGGGGGTACGGGGGATACGGGGGATACGGATACGGCTTTCCAGTCGGCCGCGTCTTCGCCTACGGCTCCATCATCAAGCACGGATACGGCGGTTATGGTGGCTACGGCGGCTACGGTGGTTACGGCGGATACGGCCTCGGATACGGCGGTATTGGCCTCGGATACGGCGGGTACGGAGGCTACGGTGGCTTCGGGTTCAAGGGTTGAGCTACAGCAGCCCGCCCTGTCACGTGATCAATGCGAGTCAACACAGCTGTCAGCCAAAAATAAGGATGAAGAAAGTGCACTGCTGCATGAAATAAGAGTCAGCGTGCTGCGAAAGGTTTTGCCTGTAATGGTGTTGTGCTGAACGTCCGTTTCAGTCAATCGAAGTGTGAATACCGTGTAAAATAATAAAAGACGCATCTCAAATACATAATAATTTGTCACGTCACTTCTTTATCTCCGGTGAACAATGACCAATTTGCTCAATACGAACATTCGATAATTTGGAAAGTAACTATTGCACACAAAAGGCAATATCTATTTCCAGAAGCGAGATTGAGGCCATTGCGCCCGCAACTGGAAACACTATACGTCGAGGCCAATATCTTGAATTTATTACTATTGCCCTCACGAGAAGTTCGGTGTTTACTAGATTTGTAGTACAGAGGAAATGAACAAGACGTTTTGTATTACGTAGTTTATAGTAATGCCTGGAAAGACCTTTAATCAAAATGCCGCCGACTAAGAAACTATGGGACAGGATTTCATTAGTTTCTTAGATTAGTTCAACTATAAAGTTTCCAAAAAATGAACGGCACCAGAGAAAATTAAGCGGACGCAATGACGGTATTTTCACGCCTGAAGGAAAAAAAGTATTAGACAGTTTTAGTATAGCGTTGCTGGACCTTACGTACGCAATACGCAATAGTATAGCGTACGCTAAAAATGACGTGCTCGGACTGAATTTAGTTGTGCGTTACGTTTTCGAGTGAACACCGCACATGATGTTGGTTAAATTTGCTAGAGCCGTAGAATTCCGCGTGCTTGTAGCGCAACCATGCTCCTGGAAAGAAATGTTGAAAATGAAAACGTGTCCAATCATTTCATTTCAAATTAAACCAAGCCACAGCTGCCTCGTCCAAGCCCGCTTTTCTGCGGGGTACAGAGGCTACGAGTACGAGTGCGTAGCCAACTTCGATCAAGGAACCTCCGTCACTCGTCCCGTGGAAACGGCACCTTTTATCAATGCTATCGCGGAATGATATTCATGACCTTGATGTTCAGTGCATAGCGAGAACTTCGGCGATTTTTTTTTTGGAGGCGTTCGTCCGTCGGCGATGAGCTGTGGGAATAGGCTTAGCGTTGAGCAGATCGCAGCGTCGACGCACATTCCGAGCGGCGAACATTTTCACTGTGCACTCCTTCAGCTGCACGGCGATCTGATTCGACCGCGGTAGGTCCCAGAAAGAACCGCTGAGGTGAACACTACGCAATGTCACGTAACACAGAAGTTCGAAAACACCACGTCGCCCTTGCTACAGTGTACTAGTATTCTAGTACACTGTACCCTTGCTGCGCCAGTCGAGGCATTCACCATCTTGAAACTGGCGCTCTCGTTGGGTCCGAGATCTCTCGAGAGCGTCCCGCAAGGCCCGCCAGCTAGCAACGCAAAATCCCCAGGGTTACGTGCGTACGCAATACGCTAGCCCTTTTATTGCGTTCTGCGCATGCGCACTCACGACCCGCAATATCCTTGCGTACGCAAAGCTATAGCGTACGGTCCACTAAAACTGTTTATTAAAGGGGCCGTGAAACGCAATTCGGGCTGGGATAAATGATTTAAATTGGGACTTTACTAATCGCATATCGTTAAGTGGGCCAAAAGAAAAAGGGGAGAAAGACAAAAGTTAGTTTTTTGGTACGAACATTTAAAAATATAGCGGACTATTTTGCGCCCTCTTTCCTTCGAAAGCTCTCCCCCTTTGCACTATGATACATCCACGGTACCCAAAGGACGTCAGCGGTGCCAATATGAAATCAGCCGACGCTAGCTCACGCATTGGAAACGAGAACTGCGTCATTCGGACGTATACGCACTCGTCAGCACCGATATCTGTCGACGAATATTTAGTTTTGTGGCCAATGAGTGCCCTGACGGAACTTATCGTCACTTGCGAATGTCAAGTTCTATAGTGTTCTCAAAAAAGCACCGTGGAAGCTTGGATTCATCGCACCGGTGCCCAAGCATGTCTCGACGACGTGACTTTTCAATTCGCCTTGAGTTGAGGATTAAAGCTAAGGAGAAAGAAGTAGAAAAATCGCATCATTGTCCTCTTTAAAGGATATTTATCAACACGCACACCCCGAAATCCTGTGCTGTCCGAAATGATAATATAAACCTGAAACGTATGATGCGGCAATCAGGCTAAAATAATGTTCACTCACAATTATATATTTTTGCTCAATTATAATATTGAATGTTTTATTAATGGTGTCTAAGTTGAAAACACAAAAATCAACTGCAGCAGACATTAATGCATTAAAAGAAAAAGACAAACATTAAATAATTTTCGACTTATTGTTTCCTGTTAACATTTACCTTTATGGACCCTCTGCACACGCACCAGACTACATCCGCCCTTGCTGACCTTCTCTTACCAAGATACCGAGTCACTGAAACCGGTCGTTGACGAGCCTCTACAAAGGCTATTACAGGGGAGAAAGACACAGTAGAATCTAAAATGGCAATAACCCGGCCTGGTAGGGTTATGATTGAGTGAAGTAAACTGGATACGAGGAAACAAACACTGAAGATCTGTCATGACGGCGTTCATGCACAGCTGCTGCAAGCGTCTATACTAACATGCTCCAACACAAAATTAGGACCTTGTGTGCTTTTCTTTTCGAATTTTGTGAGTTACAGGCTTTTCGTCTTGTGTGGCCGTCTTCCCTAAAAAAGCTTTTCACAACAACCCTTTCGCATGACACAGCCTGATTTGCAAATATTACAATAGTTAATTTTTCAGGCGATCAATTTTCGCTTGCAATATTTTGTCATCAAGGGGAGAGGCACAACGACCCATGGGCGTCCGTCTCCTGCAAGAACGATGGTCGCTTGTCGCAGTGCCTGCATAGAAAATGGCATACCATCGAGATTCACACGCTTACCAGGGACCTCCGCGCTTCCCCGTGCCACTTTGTTCGGAACCGCCGTAATTTGCGTAGTGAATGTTACGAAATGTGAAATGCGGGACATTTTGAAAATTTGGGTATTTTTTCCGGGGCGCGGGACACGAGCCCTTAATACGGGATAGCCCCGCGAGTCGCGGGACAGGTGGTCACCGAAGCACGAGCGCGCGTGCTTAACAGAGGGCATGAGCCACTTGTTTCTTCTGTTACACTGATCTGCCACCCGGAGATCGGTGGCCGAGTTCGCGAGTGGGCTAGCGCAAACCAGCTCGGAGTACGAGCAGCGAAAACTCACGCTGCAGATCCCAGGTACCCTGTGTTCAATCCCCACCCCTGCCGTTTCAATCTGAATGAGGATCGTAACGGCATGCGGTCGTGTACCACTATTGCGTGGAGCATGTTAAAGGTGTCATGAAACGAAATCAGGTTCGTAGTTAAATGACTTTACAGATGCGCACGTACTGGCCCCAGTCTGGCACAAGTATACTCGCACGGACCACCAGTGATTCAGAAGCTTCTTGGTTCATGACTCGGGGTGCGGAAAGGGGGAGGGGGGTCAAAATGCATGTTTATATTATAGGGCCCGCTGGATTTCGCGGAAGGGGGGGGGGGCGGCTGAAGCCCCATAGCACCGCCCCCCCCCCCCCCCCCCCCGCCTCCCTTCCCAATCTCTCGCTACGCCCCTGGAGGTGGCTCGTGTCCAACCTCTGGGGTGAAGAGAATAGCCGAACATTAACGGTGGCTAGAGCTAAGCACGCGTTTTCTACTTTGCCTACCCAAGTGCGTGGCTATGATTAACGTTGGCGGCATAGGATAGGCACCAGGCCATGTGGCCGCTTGTTTTGGCTCCATTTCAAGGAGATGGGCGGCGCTCATATTTCTCGAATTTATTTTCCGATTGTTTTTGCCTAAAAGAAAAACCAAGGCAAGTTTATTCGATTAGTAATGTTAGGGAGCGATTCTGGGTAGTATTTATCGAAAGTAGAAAAATCATTTCAAGGCCCCTTTAAAGACCCGAGGCTAGCGGCTCTAGTGCACTGCAGCTAAAGTGCTCATCTACAGCTGGCTCCAGACGCATTAGTGCTGACTTAACTTCTGGCTGTATCTTGTGGGCACCCTGGAGGCTCCTCAGCCAAGTTGCCCGACTGCGGGGCACATGTGGCGAAATTTCCCGCGTGGTGGCGGAATCAAGCAGGCCACACGCACATCACACGCGCCGCCTAGATAATGTGGACGAGAGGCGGCGCACGGCCAGTCGCTGGCTGGACTCAAGCGCCGCCGGTGCCCCACGTTGGTTTTGTATTAGTATTCTTCATCGTCTCGTCGATGTCCCATTAAATGTAGTTTCTTGTTCTTGAAACCGCTGGCTCCGTGTGATTCCTCCGGGCGGGGTATGCAGCGAGGCAAACCGACCACAATCTGTAAATTCCATGAAACACCGACAAAGTTATTACCCGCGCTCCATTTTACAGCGATAGATGTTATGGGCTCTCCCACCACCGGAAATTACGTTCGTTGTTGATGTTGTTGATGACATTGTAGTGGGTTATGTTGTGGTAGTTGTTGATGTTGTTGGCGTGGTAGAGCGTAGGGTGTCCGTCATCGATGTTGACAAATCCTCTCAAAGGATCGCCCGCCGCCCGCGGGAATCGATCCTGTGTTCGCTGCGTGCGAAGCGGAGACATTAGAGAGTTTTTGTAGATCGTGTTTTCAGGCCACGCTATTTGCAGCAGGCGCCCGATCTGCCACTTCGAATGGCGCGCGCCCGTAGCGGTAGCGGGGCTATGCGGAGAGCAAGTTCGTCTGCTTTTTTTGCAGGGGTTGCGGTGACGTCAGAACGCCGAGCACTGATTGGCTCTGATTGAAGAATAGTGGGTATACTTCAATGCTAGATGCCTTGAGGTCTACCCACTCTCCTTCATTCAACTTGCGCTTCGCATAGAAAACGATCTAATAAAACTCACTTTAACCACAAAATTACACAGCAACGTTAACAACCGGAAGTGAGGTATCCCGTTGTCGACCTCCTAAAG